GACAGCATGAGAACATCATCTATTTATAAATTATTATTATTTTAAATATTTATAAATATATTCCTTCAGGCCTTATCGAAAATTTTGGAATATAATGCATTTATGCTTTTAAATTCACAAATTATCGGTAACTGCATATCGGGTCGGAGCCGGTCATCCTAAACTTGGCTAAAGGCGGTCTCTCTAATTCCGCTAAACCCGGTCTTTATAACGTGGTGGAACCGATTTACAGAATTATTCAAAGCAAAGCAGAGTCGGACTCGGAGCCGCGGACCGGGTGCACGTAGAAATAATTAGCAAAATGACCCACCTAGACATAATATTACAAATTTAGCAACAAAATGGAAATCCTTTTCCGGTCAATTTGTGCCCTGCTAGCTTGAAAACTGTCCATAAACAATTATTTATGTACACTCAAATATGCATAGAAGAGAAATTTTATTAAAAATTTTCTTGTTTAGCCGAGTCTTCTCGTCAAAATAGTAAAATCGAACTCTCATACTGTAGTGTTTTAGTCGAGTCAACTTGTCAAAGCAATAAAATCGAACCCATGTATCGTCATATCTTAGTTGAGCTCACTTGCCAAAAATGATTGGATCAAATCCACTTGTCAAAAAGGTCAAATCGATGCCCTTACACAAGTGGCTCGATTAAACCCACATGCCGAAGTAGTTGCAGAAAAGACTGATCCAACCATCACCACTTAACTCAATAACATAATCTAACCATCTGCATATGGGCAACAATTTCAGGGAGTCATTATGATCGACAATGACATTCGTTATCAGCTTATTAAAGACGTTGCCCGATGTTGAGGACCAAGTCCTTTTACCCATATATCGAGGATGCATGTCATGTTGACAATATGCGATATTAGTTAGAAATACATAGGATCGACATAACAATCCTTCCAACACTATAGAAAGACATCGAGTTAATACATGGATGTAATGTGCTATTATTTTATAAGCTCTCTCTCTCTCTCATTCATAAAAAAGGGGGAAAAAGATCTCCATGAAGATTTTCTATCTTTGAGCACACATCTCTCCCCCTCTCCGGTAAATTTCATAGCAAAGCGAACTTTCAAGGAGTCATCTCTCTCGATATGCTCGAGATGTGTAATCAGTATATTTCTCACGACTTCATCAAAGGAAATATGTCCATATCTCTCTCTTTCTCTCAACAACCTCTCTATGATGCAAGATTTTTTTAAGATGTTGTGTGTACTCGAGAATGATACGAAATCTTTCATCATAAAAAGATTTAATAGTTTAATTAAAAAGAATTACCTTTGTTATTGTCTTCTCTCCTTCAGCTTCACATTATATAAATATATTTCAATTTTATACTTTATTTTTTTAACTAAATTGCTATCTTATTTCCTTATTTATTATATCAAAACTATAAATTTATGACTGCAAATGTTCTTTAACTATGACAAAAATGTTTTAAAATAGAAAATCTTATCACTAAAAAACTATAAATTAAAATCATTTAACATAAGAATTTAAAATAACTTAATTAAACGCATAGTTTAAATTTTGAAATGTTATGCATCATAATTTCAAAAATATCCCGTTAAAAATATATATATAGCAATATGTGCTGACTTAATTTTTTTAATTACAGATTTAATTAATTAGTAAAATTCTCGGATTCATATTTGTACATTATTGATGCAAACACACAAATAAGATATATGTGAAAGTTCTAAAATAAAAAAGGGGGCATTGACATACATGCTATCCAATTCTTATATATTTACATTTTTGACCCTTGGGATTTACTTTTTATATTTATAGCACTGAAATATTTCAATCCACATAAAAAATAATATTAATTAAAATTTTAAAACATAAATCCATTTTTATACATAAATAAAATGACATATATGCAAGTAAAAATTAAATTTTACATGTTATATGTGTAAATACATAGAAATTGAGTGATTTTTATGTAATTTTTTTAAATAAAAATATGATAGAACTATTTTTTAGTCAAAGACTGTTGAATATGATTAATGAGTTCTTTTTTTGCTGCCCTAATTTCAACTGAATTCATTAAGAATTTAACTGCAAAGTTAAAGCAATAAAAAATAATTAATTATTAAGAAGTCAATAATGAATTTGTTACTTAATTAAAAATTAATTCCTCCATTATTCTATGAGACAAAAAAAAAATGAAAGATTCCTCGCTCTACATCAGCTTTACTGCAATAATTTATATATTTATTTATTCGCATCATTATTATTAGTATTATTTATATTGCAACCCCTTACGAAGTTGACCAAAAGTTAGTTACGCAGGGTATATTAGTAAATTTGTATTTAAGAATATAATGATTATAAATTTTTAAAAGTGCAGAGAGAATTTTTGCCTCAGTCAAAGAAAGAGAATGTTAGTCTGTCCCCTTCATGCCGTCATAAAGTAAATGACGCTGGCCATGTGTTTTTTATTTATTTTTTCAAAGATTAAGACCCTTGAGCAAAAATAAAAAATCAATAATTTGGACCAATTGTATTGTTTCCTTGTGCATTTCTATACGAAGCCTTTGCATATGTGTTTCAGAGTACTCCTTTATCATCTCATCCAACAGGAATAGTTCTTCTAATTCCATAATTTTTTCTAGAAAATTTTTCTCTTGAATATCATTCAAAGGGATTTCGGATTGCCTAGTATTCCACCAATTAATAACCCAAGTTTCTAGACATTTATTAAATGAGAGAGAAACCCACCAGGACAAAACGATTATAGACACAAGATATGGGAGTTTCAAATTTCACTTTTGACTTTAGGATAACATTTTTACTAAATTTCACTCTCTAATATATATAGAATTTAATGGGCGTATATGCATATATATAAGGAAATCGGTATTTGGTAGTGGCCCAAATATCGATTTCTCGTACCTACCGATTTCTCATGCGCTGGGCTCCATGATGAGAGCCCGCACCATGTGCCTAAATATTCTAGAACCAAATGTCACTAGAGATCGAACCCGTGATCTGAGGGGACTTAAAGTGAACACTGCTAACCAACGGGGCACGACTTACGACACCACTAAATTTCACTATATATATATA